CACCAACCATTTGGTGGAAAAACAGATGTACTAGGTGGTGACTTCTGACAAATACTACCAATGATTACAAAAGGATAACGTGTAGACATAGTTTGTGCATCAATACATAGATCTCCGTTATGGTCTTCCTGTCAAGTATTAGAACTTCATATCAACATGAGGCTGCACCAACATAATGCTACCAATTCTATTGAGTCTATAGATTTTGCAAAATGGGTCCTTGATGTTGATAATGGAAACATAGACTCCACCTCCCTGATACTAGGAACAAAACAGAATTGGATAGATGTACCAAATGACCTAATAGAAGACTAAGGGAATGGGGTAAACCACTCGTTGATTCCATATATCTTGATCTACACAAACAATTCACATCTGGAACTTACCTGTGTGAACGAGCAATGTTGGCCCCAACTAATGAGGAAGTTGATCAGATAAACAACTACATGCTCAATGCAATGCTAGGAACTATCCACTCTTACCAAAGTGTTGATACCATGGATACACTAGATGACTCATCCGAAGAATCAGTTCTTTATCCCCATGAGTTTCTTAACTCCATGAAGTTCAATGGATTCCCAATTTTTTGTCATATGGACGACTCAATTTCATTTGAAACAGGTTGAATGCCAGGCTGATACCTATCAAGTTTTTTCTTTTCTCAGTAAATAAGTTGATACACATCAGATTATTTATTGTGATTCAAATTAAATGCATCTTGGTTTCTCTTTTCCTTTTGTTTTGTCTACTAGTGGAGTGTCTTGAGTTCCACGTGGGGAACATAACTCTAGGGTTTCTCTATTGCTTTGTGTAATTGGTTTATGTGTTATGGAGCTTGTAGAGAGAGTGCACATGGACCATCGCACGCACGCACGTTCTGGACCGAGCTAACACACGTGTGCACACACCCACCTCATTGCGCCATTCTGTGTTGCGTGCATGGGTCCAATGCTCTTCTTGTTTTCTATCATTATTTATTTATTGATTGATTTTAAGGTGTTTAACGTTTTAATCCTTGAGAACCCACTTTTTTATGTTCTCTGTGTAACTGTCTCACTATCCTAATCGTGGGAGAACTGCCTAAATTATTGGGAGACACTTTTTGTTTTGGCAATAAGCTTTCTTAATTTCCAAGGTAACTATGACTTTGGGTACTAGCAACTTATTGCTTCTGCTTTTCGAGTTTTGTTCTTTCTTGCATTATTTTTCTTGTTGTTGCGCATACATAACACACTAATTCATTGCTTTGGGCTGTGAATGCATACAATGTCAAGGCTAAGAGCTGTTATATCCTGGAGGACGACTGCAAGTACCAACGGAAATATTTTGAGAGGTGGCAAAATCAATTTTAAGGAGAGCAAACACTTGTCGTGAATCAGATGTTATTAATAAGTTTTCCACTTGCTTATTATCAGTTTGTTATATTTAATTTCCTGGAGTTCGGATCTATACTATTGTAGAAATCTAGTTTGATTACTGTTATAGCCATATTATTTAATATTTTCCAACATGTTTATTTTTTGTCATCTAGACAACTCGGTTTCCTTTGAAACAGGTTGGGTGCTAGGCTGATACCCATCGAATTTTTTCTTTTCTTTGGTAACTATGGTTGATACACATCATATTACTGTGATTTTTTATGCAATAAAACCCCTTTCCAAAACCAATACTATCCCTAGCAACCTTCCACATTAGCCCCCTCTCCTCTTGTTTACAAATCCATAAAAGCCAGAAACCCTTATCATGCATGATGCCATTTTCTTCTGTTACATCCCGGAATTCCTCGACCAAGTTTAAAATGAGTAGATTTTAAGGAGCCATGCAATTTTTTTTTTTTTTTTGAGGTGACACAAAATGAGTTGATTTTAAGGAAAAATCCCTTTGAGTCCAAATGCACTAGATCTAGAGTTGTTTCATTAGGGCAAAGGAGAATGTGGGAAAAACAGCAATGAATGGTGTCTAAACCTCATTTGAATCTTAGGTGGGAAGAGTGTTTAGCTTTGTTTTTTCTTTATTTATTTATTTTTTATTTTTTTCCTTTATTTGTTTCTTTCCATGGCACTAGTGAATGTGAGTAGATGCACACTCGAGATTTTTCCCATCACTTCTCTTCCTCCTTCCTTTTGTGTTATTCATTGCAAAGGGTTTGTCATTTCTCTTTTTTACTGAGATAAAGATTCAGATAACTGTTAGAGTTTGGCATTTCTCCCTCATTTACTGAGTCTCAAATAAGACGAGAACTCAAGCAATGACATGAGGCAAAACCTATTGTGCATTCTATAAGAAATTATTGCAACATAACATGAACAAATTAATAAGGAAGTTGCACATAGTAGTGACATTTTTAATGTTGTTAAAGTCTTTAATGGTAATTATACTTTGTGAAACATGAAAATACACCTTGTGTAATATGAACCAAATAAAATAAATAGACCATGTGACCAACCATGTGATGTCTTTAACATAATTGATTAAAAATTTGATTTAATGTGCAACAAATATTCAAATTGCACCATAGTTAGACTCATGGCATGTAGGTTGTTTTTGTCCATTAATTTGTTTGGCCAATATTAATAATGGAACACTTTTAGGTGGTATATATAAATAGTTTAAAAAACGAAAGGGTATATTTAAGTAGTTTAGAGAAACCTCAGGGTATATATAAGTAGTTTACCCATCCCATTCAATTTAACCAAGAATCAAAAAGGACTTGTGAAGGTTATTATTGGCCTTTGTTGCATTGAACTTTCTAAAACAGTAATAGAAATTAATAACTTGTTTTCCTGAGGCTTAAACCTTTTTATGCTTAATGCCTTGAATTTTGTATACACCCCTTTTAAGTTCTAACAAGGGCTTAAACCTCACACCAAAGTTATAAGGCTTGTACCTTGAGACAAATCTATGTACCTCTCCTCTTAAAGCCCTTTAAAACCATGTGTCTATGACTTAATCAATTTTTTATTCTTATAGATACATGGAATGGGTGGAATGACCTAAATTCAACATTATTCCACCTGTATCCATAAGCATAGTATCAGTTTGTATCAGTCTTCTATTGGCCAATGCGCACCAAGAACATATTTAATTGTTCATCAATAGATTGAAAAGCAACACATCCACCAGTTGACCATCACTACTTAGTTGTTACAATAGTATTAACATTGGGATTTCTGGACTGCAATCCCCCTCAGAAATTGAATTTGCAGCCCCCTCCTAGTCTACTAGTAGCCCCCCTATAAACCATATCCTGCCCGTAAATTTGGCATCAATCCACAGGCAGGATTCAGTCCACCACTAATCTAGTAGTAACTCCACCTAGGGGTGGACTGAACGGTAAAAGCCCCTTTAACATTTAGTTATTCTCTTTTTAGTGCATGCTTATTAAAAAAATATTTATTAAAATTTATGTATTTATAAATATTCATAAAAACAATAATGGTCCCAGATATACATGGGTATCTTTAATTCTATACTTTTTTTAACAATTTTCAAGTATATCCTGGTAGTTCACAATTCACATAAATGTTTTTCTTTTGTTTATGGAAAAATCTGTGATGCCGGAAAGACAACATACCGGAAAGGATTTGACCAATCACAACCCCCATGAATTTTAATGAAAACCCACCTGATTGGTTCCTCCGGTATCATGTCTTTCTAGCATCATAGTTGAACCCTTTGTTTATATACTTCAATAATAATCATCTAAGTCTTGAATTTAGTGTTATTAATAGATTCTTTTGGGATTTATTGGAGTTTCCATGGCATTCCTAAATTTAACAATGGACAAGGCATTAAAATAGAACGGGATGGCAAAACAGAAATCATGTAGCCGACCCCATATAAATGGATAAGGCTTGGATGATGATGATGATGATCCATGCGTATCTAAAATATATCCCAATACAGTCTTTTAAATTTGCCTTTTCCATACTCTGCATTTTCGATATTTTTTATGTTTGAAACTTCTGTGCATCATGATTCATGTCCATTTCCAAGCTTACAAATATTTTGAACCTTGCTAAAAATCAAATGTACAATGTTTTGCCCATAAGCTGTCAATAGCCCTTAGCATGTTGATGTAATTTACCATCCTAGACGTCTCTTGCGAGACATCCGAGATAAAATTTACCATCCTGACAGTCTGGAAATCACTTGCCCAACTAAATTTTCATCTATAAATGGGTTATCAATTAATGCAAAGGAAACGCAAAAGTAAAAGGGAGATGAGATGGTTGATCTGAAAATGAATAATTTTTCTCAAAGGTCTATCATTTTTGGCATCTCTGATAAAAAAAAAAGAACACCTATTATCTCGCAATCGTCAAATTTCTCAAAATGAAAAAACCTGTAGCAATCGTCAAATTTCTATCCAGTGGATCTTATCTCGCATTAACTCTACATTCAATTCCATAGTTTATCCCACTACTGACGAGGATTCTTTCCTTGACACCACTTTAAAGTAAAATTTGAATATCCATCCTTTTACTGATATAATTAATATCCTCGCATTCTTGTTCTTTTGGTGGTATTTGCTTATCAAACGCACTTCCAAAATCGCAGAGCTTGGAACCAATGGAAGAAGCTGAATTACAAGCTATACTGCATAGTTTATCATATGTTCGTCGGACTCTCCCAACGTGACCCAGGCATTTCAGGATAAATTTGCTGTCCCTTGGTCTTGCCTATGGCTTTTGTTTAAGACCAAGGAAATCTTACAGTCTTTTCAGCTCCTTTTTCTTGTTATCATGTAAACAGAGTTTAATATCTCAGCTCATCTCGTTGCCCAAGCAGCTAAAACTATATATCGGGTCTTTTTCTTTTCTGATATTTATCCTGCTTGGGTTCCAGATGTTCAGAACTATGTAAATATTCAGGTCTTATAGTTTAATCTTTGGACCTATCAAAAGAATAAAACAAACAAACAAACAAACAAACTCACCTATATCATGTTGATTTAATGATGCATGTAAATATCACAAAGAAAAATGGCCACAAGCTCATAAAACTAAAAAGAGAATTTTAAGACTAACTAAATTTCTTATCATTTTTGACATCACTGATCGAAAATATGATTAGAAATGTACTGGTACATATATACTGATTCAATGATATGCATGTAAATATCACAAAGAAAAATGGCCACAAGCTGATAAAACTAAAAAGAGAAGTGTCAGACTAAACTAATATCCAACTGCTTTTTGAAAGCCCCCAACTATCAATCCAATGTAAATTGCACTGCAAGAATTGTTTAAAGGAAAAATCAAATAAACTAAACTTGAATCAGGTTATTTTACTATTAGAAAGCATAACGATAAAGAAGCAATAGGAAAGAAGGAACTCACTATCGAGCAATTCAGGGAATGCAACACTGACAATGAAAAGGTTGTTAAAAAGCTCTTTCTTCTTATTCTACACAACTCCTGAGAAAATTTTGAATTGTAACTGTCTACCAGTATCCTCCAACTGGTCTGAGATCCTAAAAATCATTTGGCAACCGTCAAAAGACAATATTTACTCTTGAGAGAAGCAAGAAAGTATAACAATGAAGATTGGAAGACCTTTATGTTTACCTAGAATAAAAATTAACGAAACTCATCATGGTAATCATATTCATCTTCATCATTGAAAATAGCACTATAAAATACATATGGGCTTTCAATCATCTCTTCCAAGGACAGGCGCCCATCTTTATTTGTATCTGCCTGCAGAATATAAAAATAATATCTCAGCTATATAGCCTTTCACTATGAAAAAGAATATCTACAAAAATTATAAAGCTATGCACAAGCATATCATAAAATACGGAATGTGAGTTTGTTTGGAGCTCACTAGTCAAGAAAAAGAGCTGAGCTAGTGATATATCATGTTTAATGTTTTTAATGGGGTTTTATATGGTGTGCTGTGATACATCATATTATAATGATATAAAAGGTAGCATGAGTGAAGATAAAACCCTTCAGACATTTTGGTTCAAGGGTTTAAAAGTTGAGAAAGAGAACAGAGGATGAAGAATGTAATGCAGAGGTTCTTTGGACACTAATTGAGTTACCACGTATGCAAAACTTTCTAGCTTTGATTTCTTTTATCATTTCCGCCACACACACGTATGGTGGATCAAAGCATTATTTTTTGTGATCCAGGAAGGAGGATTGGAACAAAGACCACAAAACAACGGCTTTCTTTTGAAAGATGGGCAAATAAGTCCATCTCGGTTTTCTTCATTGAAGTTAGGTACTTGTAGAAATTTACATCCATATCCATTTGACTTTCCAATGATACATTATGAGAAAATATGAAAAAGGCATACATGAGAAATATTAAATTTAAGTAATTGACATGCATTTTTTGCAAAGATTGACATTCAATTCAATATTTTTTTTTGGCATTCAATTCAATAAATTATTACCTGTGATATGATGTAATCTGCTTGTTGTTTTGCATAGTAACGTTCTGATGGATGGAGTTTTCCGATTATAGGTAGCAGTTCATCTTCTGACAAATGCCTGAAAAAGAAAACCCAGATCAATCAGTAATTAAAAAAAACTGTTTGCAGAATTATTTAAAGAAAAAAGTTGTATAGATGAGTACTGATCATTATTCTGGTCAAGTTGAGCAAACAACTGTTTGGCTGGTGCTTCCATTGAATCATCAGAGTGATGCGAGGAGTTGTGATCTTCTTCATCATAGTTTCTTACCAAATCAAACAGACCATGAAAGAATTCCTTAAAGTTTATCTTCCCATCTTTGTCAGTGTCTCTCTCCCTGAGAAGAAAAGGTGCACTTTATTCAGATAATAGGCAAAGATTCCTGAACAAGGTCCATATAAACCTAATTTCAAAAGAACAAGTTGGAAGTTGGAACTATAACCAAATAACCGCACAATAAATAGGATCATGATCGTCAAAACAAGCGTGAAGCAATTATTTCTATAAAAATCCAACTTTGTAGTAAAAACGGGCTGTACTTTCTAATGCTTTCAAAAGGAAATGCAGTATCTCTTGTTATATAGTTAAAATTCTGATAGTATCAAAACTGCAGGGATTGGCAAATATATAGCTGTATATTATGAGCTGCTGCAACCATGGCAATCAATTCCTTTTAAAAAGCAGAATTTTATGGAGAATCACCCTGTTTTCCGAGGGGAGACCACTTTGAAGAAGAAAATAAAGAGGAATTGGAGAATAAAGAAGTCCATTTTTCCAAGGTCATGTTATTTTCCAATTCCACAATCGCTATCTGAGGTGAGAGATCTTGAGATGAGAGTAAAAGAATAAAAGATTTGCTTGCTCAAGAAGGGAACTGGGGAAGTAGAAAGAGGATTTCTAAATTCTTTGATGAGGGGATGAGGGAACTGTGGATTGAACCTTACCAATAAAAGAAAAGAAGCTGTGGATTGCATCTGCAGTATTTCTCTTATGATATGTGGTAGGGGAGATTCAAAGAAAAGACTCGGGGCAATTTCTCTGTTAACTCGGCTTTATTTGGTAGTAAATAAAAAAGAAAATTCCTTAAGTGGAAAAAATCCATCAAGAACACATAAAACGATGAGAAATCACCAAAAGAAAAAAAACAACTATATCCAACTTTTCCGATTTTTACATCAATACAAAAATTATCCAACAGTTCCATTCAATCAAGTAGTATTTCCCAAAACTTTTCTTAAAGAGTCTCTTGAGACATCTCTGAATTCTTGTAAGATAAGTATCCAATCCATAATTTTTTAACCAATCTCTTGAGGCATCTCTGTTCACTCAGCTTATAGGTCAGTGATTAATGATTGATCCTTCACCAGCACAGTGATTTAAAAGGCGTGCCTAGGCGCACAGGCAAGGCACATTTTAGGGTAGGCGCCTCGCCCAGGTCCTAGATGCACCCTTTCAAAAGGCCCACGCCTGGTGCACCTGGTGCGCCTTGCGCCTCAGACCAGGTGTGCGCCTTTTGAAACTGACGCTTCGAGAACCCCCTATTTGGTAATGTTGTTCATTCGTTCATCCTAATAAGATATCTTTTTAAAAAGCAATAAAAACTATAAAATCATTATCTTTTGAAACTGACGCTTCGAGAACCCCCTATTTGGTAATGTTGTTCATTCGTTCATCCTAATAAGATATCTTTTTAAAAAGCAATAAAAACTATAAAATCATTATATTTTGTGTGAGAACTAAGAATTTAAGACCTAACATGGACTTGTTTGGGCTTGCCTCGAGGGGCATGGCACAAAGGCGGCTTGTAGAATCAGGGATGTAATATGTTTTACATCACGTTAGCCACTTGAAGTAATGCAATTGAGAAAAAAAGAGATTGTGGGTTTTATATGCTTGAAAATGTTTTATATATTTGATTTTGTTTTTAAATTCTCATTTGAATATGCCTTACATGTTATATTTATGTATTTTAATATTCGATAATAGTTTTTTAAAACATTTATTTTAAAATTTAAGTTTATATTTTTATTAATATTATGTTTAATAATTTTTTATTTTATTTGTTTTTTAATTTTTTTGATTTTTTAACTTTTTTTTTATTTTTTGCGCCTCACTTAAAAAGGAGCACACCTCGCCTGGTGCCTCAGGCACAAATTGACCCCTGCACCTTTTTTGTGCCTTGTGCTTTTAAAACACTGCACCAGCAGCATAATCTATCAAATGGGTGAAAGTATGAGAAACAAAGATCATAGTCTCCTATGGGTACTTCTTTTGAATGCAGTACAAGAGAAGCTTAAATGGGAAAGTTCCTTGTCCACATTGTGACCAGGAAGAAGAAACAGTGGAGTATTTGCTTATCAAATGCTAATTTGCAAAATCTGTTTGGTTTGCTTTTATGCTACAACTGAGGGAAGACCAACTTCCTCAGTCAGTTTTTGAATGGATAAAGGATTGGCCATCTTCTGTCAAGGATAAGTGGGCATTGAGAGGACCCCTGGAATGACAATAATGATGACTGATCTCATACATGCTAAGGTACCAAATGCCAGATCAAATACATGCTTTAGATCTCTTTCTTAGATAATTGGAATGATGATAACAATGACAGGCCGCAGTAAGAACTTTATTTTTTGGAAAATAACAACAACATCAATAAAACTGATGCATTTCATGTTCAAATTTCTTAGCTATTTCAGGTGAAACCTGAAATAGGATTTGTTTAGACTCAAAATTGATGCATCTCTTGTCCAATACCACAATAGAAGGTTACTGCTGCTGTCATTATCAGGGTGCTTTTCTTGCAACTAGGGGATACAAGATTCGGGAAAGCAGAGAAGCAGGCATTGAAATATGGGCTATGGTCATTGGTATAAAACTGGCAGTAAAGTCAGGAGGTTGAATCAGATGCAAAGCAAGTAATTGAGGCCATAAATCAGGAAATTAACTGTATTTTAGGGGCTATGGCTTGGAGCCATGCTAAAATTTTGGGCTGACAAGTGTGAGAATACAAATGGCCGCTTCATGCAAAAAAAAAAAAAAAAAAAAAAACAGCCGAGGGATAGTTGAAACTCAAGTTTAACAGTAAAATGGGAATAAATAAAAATAGAAGAGGAAAAAGGAAGAAACAGACATCTTAGGTAGAAAAATGGAATAGGTTGTTCAATTACTTCTCACAATAAAATTATAACGCTACCCCTACTACAAAACTGAAATATGTATAGTATTAACTTAAATCCTTATGCATCACCAACACTCCCACTCAAGTTGGCTGCATAAATTGGATTGATATTCCAAGGTTTTCTTGGGGGGAAACTCTCCCTCTTTTAATATAACACAATTCATATTACCAGTTCAGGGGCATGAGATGGAGAAGTTTGTTCCCGCGACTAGGTGGAAGAAAGTCCTAGATATGGAGAAGAAGAATTTTCTGTTGGAAGAACTGGATGGAGATTCAGCGGTAAAAATCTGTGGTGATCTTAAGTAGGGAAGCTTCAAGATGGTCCAAAGGATTCTTCAATGGCATATTATTTGCCATTACAGAGACAGGTCCAAAAGGGGAACTTTGTGTGATAAAGAAAAAAAATTCATGGTGGAGAAGAAAAATGATGGGAGAGTTCATCCAACTGATTGAAATGTTTGGAATGGGAAAAAGGCAGATTATTTGTGTCCCTGCTGGAAAGGAGAAACAGGGGTGGTCGAATTTTGCGAAGGCCCTGGATGAGTATGAACAGAGACTGTGGTTACTGGAAAGACGATCAGAAGGTAGGAATGAGCATCATGAACCCCCTGAATCAAAGCAATCTTCTGAATCTCCTTGCAACAAGGAGAAGGCGATGGGAGTTGGAGGTATATGTGAAAACTCCCTCTGCTCAAAACTGATGGCTGATGGCGGTCTGGAAGAGTGGCGAAGAAGAAAGGTGGTTAGCTTGGGTAAGAAGGTGGATGACTGGGAAAGAGTGCTACAGGATGTAGTGGCCTCTGTGCTGACAATGGAAAAGGCATTACTTCATCCTTTTAGGGAAACAGCAGCAATTTTAGATATGGATAGTAGAGCTGAGAATCTAATCAGAGTATCTACAAGAGAGGGAGTAGCATTGGTGGAAAAATGGAATCCCTCTTGCAATGAGATGGAGGTAAATTATGATTCCCTTCGTCTGAAAATCGTGGGGCTTCCTTTCAATCTTTGGACCAAGGTTCAAAGTATCAATAAGCCCGTGTATCGGCAGGGGCGTATTGGTACTAAAAAGCAAGCGCTCAATGTTTTTCTTTAGCTTTTTTTTCAAAATTTGATTTTTAGAGATTTTTTTAACTATTTTTTTATTGAAATAAATGGGGGTCCCGAAACACCTGTAAATAGGTGTATCGAGACCAAAAGATACGATACGATACGATATGCCCGATATGGGGCGTATCGTATCGATACTTTGAACCTTGCTTTGGACAGAGGAAATATTCCTTTAGATTGCAGCAATATGTAGAGGATTCATTCTAGAGGTGGATGTGCCTGATCTTCGAGTGGACAGCTTATGGTTAGGGGGTTCCAAGCCGGAGAAGATTCTGAGGTTGATCGAAGTTTCTCTGATGGTAGGTGGAGGCAAGTTTGGGTAGTGTCGGAAGTTGAATCATTGCTTTGGGAGAAAGGGCAAAAGGTTGAAGATGACACTTACGGGGATGGGGAATGCAATCCCCGCCCTGACCCGTCCCAGATTAATAAATATATAATTATATATAATATAATATTATATATTATTTATATAATATTTATATTATTATATTATTATATTATTATATTATATTATATTATTATTCATTTATTTAATTATTTTAAAGATTAAAACTTAAAAAACAAAAACACTTGGCTCTTAGAGGTTAGAGTCTTCGACAGACACAAACAGAGAACTCTGAACCATGAACCCTAGTCAGTCTTCTTCTTCCTTGGTCTTCGTTGCCGATTCGCCGACAGTCGTCGCTGTCGCCACTCGCTCGTCGAACATCGGACATCATCGGGCACCTATCGTCGCCGACTACCGGTCTACCGCTCGAGTCTCAACAGAGGACAGAGATACTCAAAAGAAAGAACTGAAACTCAGTCTCAGTCTATCATCACCGACTGCCCTCGCCTTCACCCTCGCCCGTCGGACTCTCTCTCTCGTCGCTGGCATCAACTCGCAACGGTCCTCTCTCTATTTCTCTCTCTCAGTCCCTCTTTCTCTTTCTCTCAGCTCGGGGATTCAGGTCTCAGACGGGGAATTCATCTCCGTCGGGGTTGGGGTGGAGGGGGATTTCTATGCCGTTTTTGGTTTTCCCCCAAAAGAAAATAGAATGTTGAGCGAAATT